TGTTTTTTCCTCCAGGAGTGAAGTAGAAAAACCCTAGATCACCTTCTTGGATTCTTATTACCAAAGTTATCAAGAACACTGAGAGTGGTGTACAGGGAGCTTAGCCAATGAGCTGTAAGAAAAGGTGCTTCCTCTGCAGCTCACATGCAGAGGCGGGCCTGCTGGGGACTGTCTCCCAGTAGAGGCAGCCTGAGCATGCCTCCCCCGCCCCCACCTCCCTGCAGGCCTGCTCAGCCCTGCTCTCTGCAGACCTGATCATGGCTGTGGTGACTGGCCAGCCCTGCTTCCTGTTCTCTGCAGGCCTGCTCCACCCTGCTCTCTGTAGACCTGATTATCACTGCAGCGACTGGCAGGCCCTGCTACCTACTCTCTGCACGCCTGCTGGTTGCCTGAGCCATCTGTGGCTTGCCTCACTGCACAGCAGTCCCCATCCCCACTCCCCGATCTGCGCTCACAGTCTATAAAGAGGTAATATGCAAATGTGTTAGACTTTTTCTGTCTAACTTATTTTGCTTAGCATGGTGTTCTCGGGATCCATGTTGTCACAAATGGCAGTATTTCATCCTTTCTTATGGCTGAGTAGTATTCCAGTGTATATATGTTCCACATCTTCTTTACCCAATTATCTATCAAAGGACACTTCAGTTATTTCCATGTCTTGGCCACCATGAATAATGGTGTAATGAACATAGGCGTGCATATATCTTTGTGAATAAATGTTTTCAAATTTTTCATGTAGATACCGGAAGAGGGATTGCTAGGTCATACGATAACTCTATTCTTAATTTTTTGAGGAACCTCCATACTTTTTTCCATACTGGCTGTACCAGATTACAATCCCACCAGCAGTGAATGAGGGTTTCATCTTCTCCACAACTTCTTCAACACTTGTTATTGTCATGTTGATGTTCCGTGCTCTAAATCTATGACAAATTTGTTAGTCACATGAAATTCTTTGCTTGTAACACATCTCATTTCTACATAGTTGTACATAGTTTGTACAACTAAGATTTTCTATATAGTGTAAGAGTTTTAATTTTGAACCAATAGTAAGTATTCCCTCCTCCTTTTATTAACTCTCTTTGAGACATTTATCAGAATTTACCAAATTTTGGTTTCTAACTTGTTCTCTTCATTTCTTCAAATACTTTATCTATGGAGATATTTGCACACATGCAATATTAACCATCACGTTTCCTCATTCTTGCTCTATCTTATCTTCTTATCTTGACTTATTCTGCCCATATATAGAGTTCCAACCCAAGCCTGCTTTTTCTATGGAACCTTCCCTGACTTCAAATTGTTAGGTAAGAAGTTAGACATGAGTGGCTGTGGTGAGACCTGCCCTGGGGTCCTGAACAGGGGTCCAACCAACATTATCTTCAGACTGCCTTTCTATGGGCAGCCCAGCAAACCACCAGCAGGAAGGTTCAGAGCCAGCTGGTTTTTGGTACAAGCTCAGAGGAAAACGACATGACCTCAGTGCAACCTTACAAAGGTCCTAGACTAATTATAATGAAATTTGTATTTTGGTTTTGACCCTCCCCCCACCCCATGTGTTTTTCTATGTACATTATAGGTAAGGGCATGCCCAGAAGAAAGAAAGTTTCTGTCAATCATCCCTGAATGGGAATTAAAGGCTCCACCCAGAAAACCCCTCTTTTAAAACCAGGAGTTGGGAGCACTTCCCACTTGGTCTCTCTCTCTTGACTGGCCCACTCCTCATTTGCTTTACTCCATTTTGCTTTACTTTTATTTTTGTTGACCTTAAAATGATTTCTGCATCAACAAAAAGAACCGAGCTTCCACCCCACCCCCACCTCTTCAAATATGTTTATGGTTCTCTTTGAAATGGGGACCCTTGTGGGGAGTCATGGTCTAGGAGAGAAGGTTCAATTTCCATTAAATTCTCATATTTAGAAAAGGAAAAAAATCTTTATGTTAGTGTTTAGAACCTAATAAACTGCACATGTTTCTGGTACTTTATTCCTTCTCTAGGTGATAATAAAAAATTGTTCTTAACTATGGCAACTTCAGTGCTGGCTTCAGAAAATGCCATTTCTAATTGTGCTTTGTTATACTGAGTGTTAATGAGAACAAAAGGATCAATTTTTTTAAGTAATTAAAGTTTTTATGTTATTTTATTCCTAGCCTTTAATGTACCAGCATCCTTAAATGACAAGCATGAAAGAGACAGAATTGCCCAAATATTTCTTTTTCCCTCCCTGCATTTTCTCCCTCACATTCCTCAAATGTTTGCTCTATCTCTGTGGTCCCTGCGTAGGCAACCTCCTTGACACTGTTTACATTTATGCAACTGGAGACTTTTAGAAGAATTGATAAGAATGAAACTTGGGGCGTGGGGGGGAAGAGCATCTTAATTAGTCAGTGGAAATAGCACCAGACGTATTTTCCCAGAAACTCTGCCACACGATCATCTACCATTTTTCTTTCTTATCATTCACTCAACATCACTGATGTTATAATCTTTTATAACATAGTCGCGGGTAATGTCCCCCCATGGGCAGGGCTGGGCTGTGTGGTTTTTTTCCAAGATAGAGTTTGTTCATTCTTGCTCTTGTCTTTCTCGTTCTGTGCATGGGAATTGAAAGAACAAGATTAAAGACAATTTTCTAACAGGAGCGACTCTGGAGCGGTATAGAGCAAGGTTTCCCCTGAGTGGCATCTGGCAGAGGTGCAGACATTAGCCAGTCCCCTGGAAGGGCAGAGCAACATTCCTGGCAACCGGAC